GGGACGGGGGACGTGGGACACAGACACAGCCTGGGGGCACGAGATGTCCTGCCAGTGTGGGGAATGGGGCTGGGCAGATGCTGAGGGCGCTGGGATGGGAAACCAGGTTGGAAGGTGCTGGGAGCTGTGAGGAGCCCTCCAGGTGCCTCGGAGTTGAGCAGAGGGTCAGCCCATTGCTGTGTTTGTCAATCACGTGTCGGTTTCCTACTTGAAGACTCAGAGGAAAACGCTTTCGTATTTTTTAAAGTAGAGAGAAGGAAAAATACAGATCAGCCCAAAGCAGAAAAAACTATCCACTCCCCGCAGAGGTAGTCACTGTGGACATTTGACATATATTTTTCTAGTCTTTTTTCCTGACACTGTGTATCTATCTACCTATCATCTATCTTTTTTTTACAAAAAGACATTTCTTAATTAACATGATGCATGTTAATTACCATAAATGTTAGTATAAGATACGATAATATTACACTATAACAAAAATATTTCCCTAAACATTAAACACTCCCCTGTGATGTTATCTTTTACAATTGCATAGTATTCTGTGGTAACAATGAAAAATCACTGCTTTACCCAATCTCGCAGTATGAGATCCTGGGGTTATTTCCAATTCTGTAACCAGCACGGGCATCTCAGAAGTCTTTGTGTGCCTCCCTGGTCATTTTCTTCTGAGTAACAGACATGCTGAACCAGAACGTGCGGCTGGGAGTTGCCAAGCTGTCTTTCTGGTGCTTTTGACTGCTGTGAGCTCTGCGTGCCACACTCTCCTGTTCCGTCCCCGGCTCTGTGTTCTGGCTTCGTGCCCCTGCGATTGTCTAGGGGAGGCAGGGCCCAGGGTGAGGCTGGGAAACAGGCCAGGCCGGGAGAGGAGCCCTGGTGCCCTCTGAGCCCTAGGGTCTCCCCGGGAGCTGTCCAGGGCAGAGCTGTGGGTAGACCCTCCCCTGAGCATGAACTCTCCTCCTATCCTCTCCCCTCCCAGGTTTTATCTCCCCTGGCCAAGAACCTCTTCCACCGGGCCATTTCTCAGAGTGGTGTGGCCCTCACTTCTGCTCTGCTCAAGAAGGACAACATCAAGCCCCTGGCGGAGGTAGGT